AGGACCTCACTCCACGATCAGGTACGATGATTTCTGACCTCGAACTAAACTGGGAATCCGACCTATACTGACTTGATCGTCGGAGTGCTCACCTTTTTGTGCAGGTCCGCCCAAGTATTCAGATCGGTCCGGAGGCCGAGTTCGAGCTGCAATCTGATTTACACTGTTGTGCATATCCTTACATAAACATGTTTCAATATGAAATTTTATTTAAACAAGTTAAACTGCAAAAAGTGGTATTATAGCTATTTTCAAATATTTAGAATTTATAAGATCTACATATCTATCTATATATATATTTATATATAAATCCCGTAAAAGTAGTTTAAAGGTCGGTTTGCAGAAAAAAAAAAGTAAAGACATTAGCTTTGTAATTTCCTTTTTCGCTGTTTTTGATTAGTATGGATTAATAATATATTTTAATTTGGTACTTCTTTTAAATAAAAGTTATATTTTAATTATCAAAATGTATTAATTATGAGTCTTTAGAATCCAATTGAAAATAAAATTACAAATTTTCGAGAAAAAAAAAGTAATAATCACACTACTAACTACTTCAACTTTGTGGATAAATAAATTGTTGGGACACTGGCAAAAACTTTTAGTAAAATAAGCAAAATAGCAATACATTTAGTTTTTTTCAAATATATCATTTTTTTTTTCAGAAAAAACGGAGGTCCAATTATAAAATTATAAATTCACCCTTTAATATATCAGATATATATTTGTAATATATCTGACCACTGATATATATCTCTGATATACCATTGATATAATAATGATATACAATTGATTTCCTTCTTATATAACCATGATATCTACTCAACTTCTAACATGTCTTACCACTGATATACATATGATAACCATTGATTTACCACGCTGATACAATATATATATATATATATATATATGTGATATCTATCTAATTTACCACTGATATACAAATGATATACTACTGATATAGCTATGGTATCTACTGATATAAATATGATTTACCACTAATATAATACTGATATATATTTGATATATACTTAATATGCTTCTAATTTACCACTTATATACCTATGATATAACCATTATATCTACTAATATAACTATAATACATGTGTGTTGATATAATACTATTATATCCAATATTTTTTTCAGACGAAAACAATTGTGCACTTGAAATATAAAATTATTATATAAAAGGTTTACGTGGACCATGCACGTCCAAAAAGACAAATTAAATTTTTGATATACTTTATAAATTTAAAGAGTTGATATCTCTTATATTTAGTATCTAATTAATATTAATATTGAATAAATAGTAGTGATATAGTAATCAACATTATTGATAATAGTAGTATATTAATCAACAAATTGAAATGGTAAACTAGAATTTAAAAAGCTGATATACCACTAAAATTAAACATTTGATATTCCTTGTATTTAGTATATCATAAATTAGAAATACTACATATATATATATATATATTATATGTATAATACGTACATTTGATGTATATCATAGATACATCTGATACTGTATATTAGGGGTACATCGAATGTATATCGAAACTATATCAGTGTTACATTGGATGTACATTAAATATAGATTGGATGTATATAACATACAACTTTACATCGGATATATATCAGATATAGATTTAATGTATGATATACATCAGATCTATATCAGATATAAATTGGATGTATATCAAATATAGATATACATCAGATATATATTGATATCATAAGGGTAAACTTGTAATAATAAAAATTTCGAAAATAAAAATTCAAATATTTTACTATATTTGAAAATTTGAAAAACTGGTGACATTTTTTGAAATACATAAAATACTTTTGCTACCCACCGCCATTACTCTAAATTTTTAATATGTAAAACAAAACAAGAGATCAATGATATATAATTTTATAATTAAATTCATTGAACTTCTTTTACACTTCAATAAAAATATAACATCGTACGTGTATTTCTTATTATTAGTAAAACATTACGCGACAAATAAAAGACCAAATAAAATTCAAATACAAACTTAAACAATCAACAAGTACAATTTACCCTGAAACCAGTAAAAGATGATAATAGTGATAGGCATTCGCATGACATTCATGTTCTATTGCAGAAGAAAAACTTGATTGGAAACTCCCATGAAAATCTGCATTTTTGTATACGACTTGAACATAACTCAACAGATAAGTTCTTCGGTTAAAATTCTTTGTAATACCAAACAAAGTAATATATTTTAAATGCAAAGTAATGTAATCGTCTATACTTAGTGTAAAGTACATGCTAATAATATCTACCCTTTTAACATTCTCTTCCCAAAGCATGAAATTCACCATCCAATGTCAGTGCCAATACTAAGTAGTTAAAAATAAAAAAACAGTAGAATCTCTTACACAGTGACCATCCACGAGAATTAAGTACCAAAAGAGTTCAGCCAAACAATCCCTTAACATGTTTATGCAACAGAATTATACATTCTGAGAGAGAAGAAAAAAACATCACCATTCTTTCAGATGCACGTTTGTTTACTCCTGCACCCACAAAATCAATTACCTTCGTGTCAGAAAATGATAAATAAATGTCTCCACAGACAAGGTAACAAAGTTTAGGAACAATAGAATTCACCTTCATTCATAACCACCCCAACTTTCACTACTAACAAAAGCATCCCAAATTTCCTCGTGGCTAGATTATATACTCTGTGTTCGAAAAATTATCGAATATGCATTGCTTCCGTAATAATCGTGGGATGCAAGTTCAAAATCTGTATGCTTTCTAATAATCATTTGATATAGGTTTTGAAACATATTTTTAAATTTCTCTCTCACATATCCAACAATGTAAAACTACTCGCTAGATTGTTCTAGGTTCTCGGCCTCCTTCAAGAATTTCTCCTCTTGTTCATGAATTTCATACATCCGTAACAGTCGCATCATCTAGTTACAAGTCGGTCATCCAAGTAACTAACGACCCTTATCTCGCTTACTCTGATATGATATGATATAAATACACTGAATAAATCGGTGGTCCATCAGTCTAAAAGGCATTAATTTTTATATAGCCTATAAAGCTAATGTAAGAATGAGTGTATAATCTTAATTTGGTTTCGAATTTGAACAAACAAGGAAAGTAAAGAGGTATGTCTCTCTCATTAACTAACTTAATTGTACAAGAATAGGTGCACTAGTCCATCCAGCAACTGTAGTAATTTCAGATTATTAATGATTTCTCAATGTTAATTATATACATTTGTGACTAATAGCAGCACTGGAGGCGTATAAAGTTTCAACAAGGATATCCATTTTGAACTAAGTTGCAACTGCTTTTGAATGTTACTCATAAAAGTAGCAATAGTAACAACAGAGAAGAAGGTATCTCATACCTCGTCATTGTCGTCGTCGTCACCACCATCCTCTTTATTCTTCTTGAGGCGGGTCGTACCGCCCTCTTTAACAATGGGCAACTTCATTTCACCGAAAGGTGTGTTGACATGAATATTCCCTTTTATGGTGTAGCCAGTGCCTCTTCCTCTGATCATATCCCAAAGTGCCGAACCAAAGTCCTTAGGCCTGAAGGTGATGGGTAAGTCGACATGACTGATCCCATTTTTATCAATGGGTGTAAATTCCGAAAGATCCGTGCTCCCGATACAAACATCAGAGAGCCAAACTTCACAGTCTAGGTCTTTCAATCCCAACTCAAAGTCATTCTTATTTTCCAGTCTCAAGTGGAGAATGGCAACAGTTTCTTCAAATGAGAATCTCTGGAAATGTATCTTCTCGATATCGACGTCGGGCTTGTAAGGAATGGGGATCTCTCCAGTTTTCTCAAGTGGCAGTGTCAGTCTCCCAAAAACAGGCACATCCACAATCAGATCAACCTTGATTCTGTAAGGAATGATGCTACCAGGTTTAATGTCATGGTATGTGCTCTTAATATCATCATAAATCAACTTCACAGGAATTTTGACAGTCTCCTCGCCATGAGCATGAATTGTTCCAGCATCAGGAATCAACCCAGAGATCAGCTTCCTGCCATCACTCTCTATTAAATAATTAATGTCAATTAGGGGAATGGGAACAGGGTTAGGATTTTTTATCAGAACATCAACAACAATCTCAGCCTTCTCAAGATTGATAGAGGGAATATGAATCGCGGACACATCTGCGGTCGGCTTCCCGAAACCGATCGTCTCTTCAATCTTCTCGCCAACATCGTGAATGAAATCTTTCACTCTGTCAAGGAATCCACCCTTCCCTTCATTTTCATCTTCCTTGTGATCTTTGCCTTTGTCACCCCTTTCTACGATCTCTGGTCTATCGGAAGACGCCATAACTTCATTGGAAATAAATAAATAATTTCAGAACAACTTAGAATCATTCGGTTGTAAAATTCTAGAGACTCATGATAGGAAGCAATGTGCACAACTGTTGTTTCAGAATCGAAATATTATCTGGAAGTCCTAAATTACGAGGGAGATTAAAATCCTTTCCGCGATGATGATAATTTCTGAAACTCTACCAAATTCATCAAGCATTATCATCAAAGAAACTAGTCAATCTCAAGGAAGGTTACAACAGATGATTGAGGATCTAATTATGAAAAAATGATCGGATCAAAATTTCAGATGAAGATGAGATCAGAAAAGTCCAAAAAACAAATAGAGGGAAGATCTAAAACAATAAAAAGAAAAATCAAGCAGAGAAAAAGAAACAGAAACAGAAACTAGAGAATTGAAATGCAGTAGAAAAGGAGAGGAATTAACCTGAAAGAGATGAGAAGGGCTGTGGGAGCAGGAGGAACTGAAGTTTGAAGAAGAAGAAGAAGAAGAAGAAAGTCAAATGAAGGAGAATGGCTACAGATTCAGATCCAAAGAAAGAGGGATGGAAATGGAAGGATTGATCAGGTTGGCTCCATGGGACACGTTGTGGCCTTGGCGCGTTGCCGACCAAATAAATATTACTTTCCATGAATAATTGACGTGGCCCACATATTTCATTAACATATATTTATATTTATATTTCTTTTTTCTTGATTTTTAGAATATATATTTTAAAATATATCTCCGAGTCTGCAATATTGGAAGAGTTTTTTCATTTAATAAATATACGGGGCGAGGAATTAAACTAAAATATTTTAGTTGGAAATATATTTCAATAATTATTATGTTCGTTTTGACACAATTTTTTCCCTTAGTTCCTATTCCTTTAAAATTTTAAATTAACTTTCTTATATTTTAAGATTTCAATTTAGTCCTCAAATATTATTGTTGGCCTATGAGAAACTTTTACCCCATAGTACAACTTCTCATTTCTCCTTCAAATTTCTAAAAATATTAGTAGAAATTTTGATTTTTCTTTTGATTTTGTTTCTCTTCTTCATTTCCACCCATTCACTAAGATTTGTTTACTTACTAGATATCAGAATGAAAATCAATTGGAATCAAATTAATCGAAATGAGAATGTTATTCTTTTATAATGTTGGTTACCATAATTTTATACCATCAGACTAAAATTGTTTGGAATTAGAACCTAAATCAAATATATAACTATTACTAGTATACTATTTTCTTCTTTCTAGCTAATTACAAATATATTATTGTACTAATATTTTTTTAAATTAAAATATTACGTTCGTTCATCGTGGAGGCAATTAAAAAGTGTGGTTGGCAACATTTATGTGTCAAACCGGTAGGCAGTGTTCCCTCTGAGTGGAGGACCGACCGATCCGGGTTTGAATGAGCATTGTCGGGTCCTGGAGTGCCTGTAGAGGGCTCCCGTGCATACCCCGGGGTGATCATCACCACCTGCACCTCACATCTCGGCACAGTGGAACGTGTAACCTGCCAAATATTCGACTTTGCTTATGCAAGTTGTTATGTACCAAAACCAAAGAATATTGTCGATGGGATGCAAAAAAAGATGATCTTACTTCGTTCATGCATCGTCTTTTAACCCCCCGTTAGCGGGTAAAGTTAGCAGCCTAATAAAATAAAAAGGGCCTCCTTTTGCATGTTAAAGCAGCACACTAGTACATTTTCATTGACCACTAAGACTAACTCCAAAGTCTGGTCTTTAAACTAATAAAGATGGCATAGTAAAAAACGGAAGACTGACTATCATCGCGCGCATTTAACATGGAAGAAGTTATAAGGTGGTGATTAGGGACACCCATAAAAAGTTCTCTCTATAAGGATTGTTACAACCAATTTGCTTTAAACTCTTACTCAAGAAGTAGGTAATCAAACCAATATATTTTGATTCTAAGCTAAGGAACAATAAATAAGATATTGCATATAAAACAGTAAACTAATGAAATCAAACGGATTAACAATCGAGAGAAAATAGTAGGGGGTTATGTTCTTTTATTATATTATGACTAACTGATGCTTCGACAATGAAGTTGTTAAGACTACTAGCCAAACAAAATTGATATCTTCCAGACTACCTAGGTTTTAAATTTACCAAACTCTCATTTGCTTTAACAAACTGTGTTTGGGGGTAAACTTACCCAGGACACGTGGAGGACCATTATTCGTGTGGGATGAAATTAGATAAAAATGATTGCTTAGGTCCACCTCGGCCCCGCCGAGGTGAATCGAGTTTGCCCCTTAAAAGATGAAGCATGTTCACCAAAGCTTGACCTGATTGTGGTCCAACCTGCTCGGAACCCGACAGGTCCGATATGAGAAAAGACATGTAACCGCCGGTCGTGCGTGCTGTCGGGCCCATTACCTATAAATAGAGGAGTACATTTCGCGCTCAGGTATCGAATCTGACCTCGAACTAAATAAGGAGTCCGATCTATACTGACTTGAGCGTCGGAGTGTTCGCCCTCTTGTGCAGGTCCACTCTAGTGTTCAGGTCGGAACCGGAGACCGGGTTCGAGCTCGATTCGTGAAGAATCGTTGTGCAGATTCCTGCATAAACATTTGGCGCCGTCTGTGGGAACGTCATCTTAAGTCATCTCGATCTAAAAAAAATATATATACGCAAAGATGGTGCATCCAGCAAACTCTGCCAACGCGACAGAACAGAGGGGTGTGAACGCTGATAACGGCCCTCAGCGAGACCTCGGTGCAAGAATAGTCGAGGACCAGGTCCGAGCAGGGCAAGAGGGAGATCTGCCGCGCAGATCTGCCCGTCATGCGAACCAAGAGCTACCACCTGCTCACCCGAAACCCTCAAAAGCCA